CATCTTAATAATTTCTAGGAGTTTTCAGGTGAAATTTTTGGCGTCCCTTAGATATAATATCATCTGCAAAAAGGGATAATTTGATCTCTTCTTTTCCAATTATTACTCCTTTAATTTCCTTATCTTATTGCTCTTGCAAGAGTTTCAAGTACTATTAGAGAGAAGTGGGGATAGTGGACAGCCTTGTCTGGTTCCTGATTTCAATGGGAATGCTTCCAGTTTTTCTCCATTTAGAATGATGTTGGCTGTGGGTTTGTTATATATGGCTTTAATTATGTTGAGGTATGTTCCCTCCAGTCCAATTCCCTCTAGGACTTTGATCATAAATGCTTGTTGAATTTTGTCAATGGCCTTCTCTGCATCTATTGAGATGACCATGTGGTTCTTGTCTTTGAGCCCATTTATGTGATTTATGACATTTATTGACATGTACATTGAACCATCCCTCCATCTCTGGGATAAAGCCGACTTGATCATGGTGGATGATCTTTTTGATGTGTGTCTGTATGTGGTTTGCAAGTATCTTGTTGAGAATTTTTGCATCTACGTTCATTAAGGATATGGGTCTATAGGTTTCTTTTTTGGTTGTCTTTATCTGGCTTTGGTATTAGGGTGATGCTGGCTTCATAGAAGGAATTTGGAAGTTTTCCCTCCATTTCTATCTTTTTGAATAAATTAAGTAGTATTGGATGTAGATCTTTAAATATCTGATTGCATTCTGTTGTAAATTCATCTGGTCCTGGGCTTTTTTTAGTCAGGAGGTTTTGTATTACTGTTTAAATTTCCTTTTGTGTTATGGGTCTGTTTAAGCTGATAATCTCTTCTTGGTTTAATTTTGGTGGTTCTCATGCCTTTAGATATGCATCCATTTCTTTTAGGTTTTCAAATTTAGTAGCATATAGGTTTTTAAAGAATTCCCTTGTAATGTCTCATCTGGGCCTGGGCTTTTTAGTCAGGAGGTTTTGTATTACTGTTTAAATTTCCTTTTGTGTTATGGGTCTGTTTAATCTCTTCTTGGTTTAACTTTGGTGGTTCTCATGCCTTTAGATATGCATCCATTTCTTTTAGGTTTTCAAATTTAGTAGCATATAGGTTTTTAAAGAATTCCCTTGTAATGTCCTGGATCTTTTGGGTGTCTATTGATTTGGATTTGCTCTTTCTTTCTTTTTGTTAACTCAGCTAATGATCTGTCTACCTTGTTTAGCTTTTCAAAAAACCAGCTTTTAGATTCATTGATTCTTTGTATTGTTTTATTTGTTTCTATTTCATTAATTTCGGCTCTGATTTTTTTAAATTTCTTTTCTTCTGCTGGGTTTGGGATTCATTTGTTCTTGTCTTTCCAATGTCTTGAGTTGCAGTGTTAGGATATTTATTTTTACTCTTGCATTGTGGTCTGATAGAATGCATGGAATTATTTCAATCTTTTTGTACTTATTGAGGTTTTTTTTGTGCCCCAGTATACGGTCGATTTTGGAGAAGGTTCCATGGGTATTGAGTAGAAAGTATGTCCTTTGGTGCTTGGATCGAATACTCGGTAGATGTCTGTTAAGTCCATTTGATATATGGTATTGTTTAATTCTGATGCCTCTCTGTTAACTCTCTGCTATGTTGACCTATCTAATGGAGACAGTGGGATATTGAAGTCCCTTACTATTAATGAGTTGGGATTAATCTGGGTCTTAGCTGTACCTTTCTACAGTTATACCTCCATTGGATTTCTTTCTGCAATCCCTTGGGTATAGTCATTCCTTTCTTCAGCTCTTTGAATTGCTTCCAGAACTCTCTGAAGGGCTGGTTTTGTGGACATGAATTGCTTTAGCCTATTTATGTCATGGAAGATTTTTCTTTTCCCTTCAACTATAGTAGACATTTTGGCTGGGTATAGTAATCTGGGTT